AGGGGGCCGTGGCAGGTGGCAGCTGGGTTGTGGTGGGAGGCTCTCCTGGGTTGGGGACAGGGAGAACGGCACCCAGTGCCATTCCACTGCGATGCCTATAGGGCTCCCCTCAAATGGCCCACAGCCACGGCTGGACTCGCACTGTCCCAGGTGGGTGTGCCCATGTCACTGTCCAGGACAGTGCATGATATGCATGTGTCTACACCAGATGACGGGCGTCTGTCTTGGAGAAAGAGCTCGGACTCATGAAGAAAAGACTGGCAAGTTCACAGGCGTCCACAGCAGCTCATTCTCCTGGACGACCTGTGTTTGGAAAGAGGGGCAGTGGGGCCTTGTCCTCTTTGTTTCCTGCCACCTACGATCCAGCCTTGAGGGCCTAGAGAAAGCTCTAAGTACCCAGGCCTCCCAAGTTAAATGGCACCCCGCAGGGAACGAAGCCCTCTCTCGGATCTGCAGCAGCAGAGGAGGATCGAAGGAGCCTCAGGATGCAGGCAGAGGCCAGGAAGGGGAGGATGGCTTCCGAGTGCCTGCTCCTGTTGGCCAGGACACAGACACAGAGGGACCCGTGCTCTCTAGCGGGCTCCAAATCAGAGGCGATCAAGACACACGAGTTCATCTTTGAGACACTAGAACAGAGACAGCCGCATTTGTATCTTAGATTAAAGGATAAAGACAAAATCAGCAGACACTGAGTTTTTTTAAATAACATTTTATTTTTCATTGCCAATGATTAACTTTGAAGCCTACTAGAAGAGTATCATGATCATGGTGAATAAAAAAATATAGATGATAGAATAAAATATTAGGTTATACAAAGTTAGTCCTTAAAAAAATCATTGTCCACCAACATTTTCAGGACTTTGGAGCTCTGAAAAACAAAATTGAATCTTTGCGCGTGTTTTTTTATTTCCAGAAGTTAGGAATTAAAAACACGTACTGAGAATCCTTTGCAGATGTCTATTACAATCAACAGAAGGACCGCAAAAATTAAAACAAGTCCTAGGAACCATCATATATACAAACTTCTGTACAGAACCAGGATGCAAGTAATCCATCCCACGGAGACCGTCTTTCGTGGCAAACGCGTTCTTTTTCACAATAGAGTGGAAATTCAATTTTGCTATATTCATATTTGATCCAGTATTCTTAATGTCATTTCTGCCCCATAAATTAGTAACTGTTCAGTAGCTGAGAAATATCCTATTTTAAATTATACCAAGAGAAATGAGGAACTGCCCCGGAAAGGCTGAACTGAGTTGCCTAACGTAGGTGGAGGGTGGAGTCAACCAGGGCACAGTGACACAGTGTAGTCAGGAGGGGCTGGCCACACAGCCCGCGAGCAAGAGCAGGGCCAGACTGCAGAGGACGGGGATCCTCGCACAGCACCGCGCCCCTGCTCAGGGCGCCGTCTCCCACCCTGGGATCAGCCGAGCTCCTGCTGACCCAAGTCATTTGGCACAAAAAGAAAGGACGCTCGGGCAGACTGAGGCTCTGTCCACGGCGCCACACTCGGGGCCCAGCTGTGATACACTCGGTGGATGTCCTGTCCCCGTCACCACCATGACACTAAGGGCCACTGGCTGCACGGTAGCATCAACTCCTTTGAAGGAAAAGCCACGGCAGTGAAGAGGAGACATGGCCGGCCCGTGAGGTAAACAGCAGACAGAGGCGAGGAGGGGAGGACAGACGGACGCCTCGCGGCTGTCACTGCACAATCCCCGAGTCCACCGACGTCTGCTTGCGGGTCGTCTTGGGCGGGGGAGGCGGGGGGGTTTTGCTGGGCAGCGGAGGTGGCAGATGCTAGAAAACAGGAGGAAGAAGTCACATGACTGATGTTCCCACAGAAAGCTCCCGTCTCCACGTGGGCTCGCGGCACAGTGGGGGGGCTTGCCCTGCACTGGCTCTGGCGTGATGGGGCTCCCTTCTGCCTGGCTCAGGGCTGGCAGGACCACGACACCCACGCCAAGCACTTTCCTCCAAGCCTGCAGGGCCTGAGCAGCAGCACCTCCACCCTGATGGCTGGCATGGACGACCCCGTCGTCCTCGGTGATGCTCTCCAGGGAACACCCTCCGGCCTGGGCTGAGAGCCAGGGTCACAGGCTGCTCCTGGAAAGGGCCAGAAACTCAACACCTCCAGCTCCATGGGCTCCATGGTCTTTGCTGAGGGCAGGAAGCAGCCAGGGGCCGTATGTGAGGGAAGGGCCACAAAACTTTATTTACAAAACCAGGTGGCCAGCTGGACTGGCCCACAGGCCACAGATGGCCTCAGATTCACAGAAAGAACTTGGACTCATGATTGTAGAGCTGACAGAGAAACGCCGGTCCTAACGGAGCGTCCGCGGTGTGACAGACTACGGCAGCTCTGCCCTATGGTTCTCGGGACCCTCTTGCCCCTCATAGTGACCAGTGAGTCTCTGTAGGCCTGGGTCAGCGTGGACCAGCGAGGAGTGAAGGAATGAATGGAGACGTGAGCAGGTCAGGGGGCGGGAGCCCACCCTCCGCAGAGCGGGCTGGACAGGTGCCCGAGCAGCCACCCGACCTCAGGGTGAGGGCCGTCTCCACAGCTCACAGCGGGGCTGGCATCTAGCAGAACGTGAGAAAAGATGTCCTCAAGAGCAGAGCCGTGGCCCAGGCCTCTCTCCCCGCTGCCCAAGCTCCTCTGATTCACACACAAGTAACTGCGAGGACGCCCTGTGCTGAGCAGAGCCAAGCAGAACTGCAGCCGTGACACACGGCCGTCCTAGAAAGGAACGGGAACCAGGGACCCACAGTCTTTCCAAGGTCGGGACGAGCAGGTGACGCCCCCGAGAGTCTGGCCACCGGGTCGGTGTGATCACAGGGGAAAGCCATGCTGGGAGGCTCGGGAGTGAGCAGGCCAGACGGACGACGCCACGTGAGTGTCGGGCTGCTCACCACCGAGCAGGGTGACAGCTCAGGTGACTGGTCCTAAGTGCCATCGTGAAAGAGATGACAGTGTAAAGCAGCAGCAGCCAGAGGCAGAGTTGCCTGAAAGCCTGAGGCCGCCAAAGAGAGTGACAGGAGGAGGGGATCACCCCCGAGGCAGACGATGAGCATCATCCTAAAACAGCTCAAGGTGGCACCCCAGGAAGGGCAGTGGCCAGTTACAGCTCCCGGGCCACCAGCCTGTCACCTAACACGCTCTCGCACTCAAGTACATTAACAGGAAACAAGGAGCAGAGAGAGTCGGGCAAGTAACCCGAGTCCTCGCCCTGTGTGGACTGACCAGAGCTCACACACACACACAGTCCTCCACTTGATCGACTGCACAGGGCACCCTCAGAAGGACGTTCCCAAGACACTACGACAGTGAGACGTTACCCCTGAGATGATCTGCAACCAAGACAGACCTGGGAGTGGGTCTAAGGTCAGAACTTTGAGTTGACTCGTGTAGGGACCTGGGAGACGTTCTTAATTTTCTGTTAAAGACGTGACCTGTCAAGCCATTAAGAAAACAGCCCCCAGGCAAGGCTGGGTCCCCTGGACTCCTTTGGTGCCAACACATGGTCACAAGTGCCAGAGGAGGTTGGGTTTACAGAGGGTGCAATGAACCCTTCCCGCCTCCCGGAAAGCCCCCTTCAGGGTAACCTGGTCCCTCCTCCAGGGCCGGTTCCCCACTGTGACATATCTGTGGGGACAGCGCCTATGTGAATGTCACTCAGGAGAGTCCCTGTCCTTTCAATGTCCAGGAGGATGCTCCCGTACTTAGTTCTCTTATACAAAAGGAATGACCAAAGAGACACTGTTGGCCAACGCCCTCTCTCCTGCTCTCGCACAGGAAAGAGGAAAGATGAGCAGTGCTCAGGGAAAGAGTCCCCATAAAAACAGAAAAAGGAAAGGAAAGAGAGAAAGGGACAAGGCATGCAGAATTCACGACAGCTGTGGAGGGAAAAGCCCACTTCCGGCGGCCACTTCACCCTGTGGCCTCAACGCTCGGCGGGAGTTCTGCAGCCCCGTAATTACTTTATGGAGGCTGAAGAGCAAAAAATCCGACCCACTGCACAAACATGAACAGGGACATTTACTCTTCAGACTGAGCTGATTTGATTTTATAAGACTGCAAATAGCGTGGCCCGGGGACGGGCCTGGCAGTGGACATTCTCTCGCTCCTGCGTAAGTCACACACAGGCCTCCTCCCCCGGTGGGCTACTGCAGAACCCAGGCCCTGAGCAGCCGGTGGGGGGGACTGGCCGGAAGTACGGGGGTGAGGGACATGTGACAGCAGCCATGACAGCCCAGAGTGCAGTGTGGTGGCCCTAGAAGGATGCTTCTAGAACCAGCAACTGGCACAGAGGCCCTGGCTCAGATGGCTTTTTGAGGCTTTTCACCAAGATTGGCATTAGGGGCAGGCTCAGGAGGACCTCAGACAGCACTGATGACAAAACAGTGCCCGGGCGCTGGTCTGCAGGCAGCTGGGTCACTCCAGGCCACGGTGCAGAGGGTGCCCAGGCTGGGGGCACTGTGAGGGGCAGCCACGCCCAGGGTGAAGTCAAGCCGGCTCCCTCTGCAGATCCTCCGAGCAGCCAGGGCCTGTAGCAGCCCAGGAGCCACCAATGTGAAGGCGACATGGCAGGAGGAACTGCAGGGACAGAGCTCCTCTGGGGCCAGGCGGGTGCACGGTGGGTGTGCGCCACCCCTGGGGACCACATGGCAACCCCAGGCTCATAGACCCCTGGGTAGGAAAGCTGCTCGGCAATCAAGATTTCACCAGCATTGCCCCTGCAGAGGGGTGGCCCGGGTGACTGTTTGGAGCGCCTGTCCCTCCTGCTCCTCCTCTTCCTCCTGGGTGCAGCCCTGGCTGTGCGGTCCTCTGCAGGACCGTGATGCAGGACCGTGGCTCTTGGCACAGTCCTCAACATGTCGACAAAAGCAAACTGAGTCCGTCATATGATTTATCCCCCAGCCCAAAGCAAACCCGCTGCCCTCTGCAAGGAGATCCCAGGAGAGGTGTCACCAGTCCTGGGTCCCAGACCCCCACTTACCCTCTGGTGTGGAGGAGGGGGCGGAGGTGTCGACGAGCCCATCAGGTCCTGGTTTTCCATCAGATTCCCATAGTCTGCCATGCTGCCCTTGAGGGGCAGAGGGGGCGGGACGTCAGCCACGTCCACCCCGGTCATGCCGTTCAGCTCCAGACCTAGGAGAGCGGGATCTGATGAGAAGGAGACAGGCACCCTTATGAGCTGATGGCTCGCAGGGCTGCTCCTGGGTCTCTGTGTCAGCAGGGCACAGGGCAGGGAGGGGTAGAGAACACAAAGTTGGAATTCCCTTCTGGTGGAATATTCTAGAAAGGAGACAGCAAGTTTAAAA